TCAGAATGGGGCTCTCGCACTGGCGCCGCGCACAGTCGTCTCACAATCTTGCCACAATCCGCTAAGGTGGACGACGGTTTCGTTTCATAGTGGGGCTCTCGCCCAGGACTTCGTTCAATTAAACGGGCAGCAGATTGAATGTGTCAGAGTGAGGGGGCCGAACGGTCATTCATTGTCCCTGGGTGCGTGGCTGAAGTGGGGATCCGCGGTGAAGATTCTGCTTGTTGCCTTATTGCGGTGTTGTCGTTTGCTTGTTGTCGTTGTCCCACCCGCGACCCACCCGCGACCCACCCCGCGCCCCACCCTGCGACCCACCCCGCGCCCCACACCGCGACCCACTTCGCGACCAACCCGCGACCCACTTCGCGACCCATCCGCGACCCACCCAGCGACCCATCCGCGACCCACCCGCGACCCACCTGCGACCCACCTCGCGACCCACCCGCGACCCACCCCGCGACCCACCCGTGACCCACCCGCGACCCACCAGGGCCCCACCCGCGACCCACCCGCGACCCACCCCGCGACCATCCGCGACCCACCCGCGACCCACCCAGGACCCACCAGCGACCCACCCGCGACCCACTTGCGACCCAACCCGCGACCCACCCGCGACCCACCCGCGACCCAATAGCGACCCAATAGCGATCCAGCCGCGATCCAGCCGCGACCCATTTGCGACCCACCCGCGACCTACCCAACTTGGTTGAACGAAAAAATCGGCGCCTGCGGCGGGCTCGTTGCAATATTTGTGAAACTTTGGCGCCTGCGGCGGGCTTCTCAAGAGTCTCGCAGACTGCCGACGTCCCCACCGCCCCCTCACTCTTATCCGCATCTGCGGGGTGCTACGTATAATAACTGCAGCGGGTGCAGGGCGGCTCCTTTCGGGGCTCTCGCATGAGACTTCTTCAACTGCAGCTTGGAACGAGGTCGCGCTTCGCGCGCGCGCGCTGGTGCGAACTGTTTCGTCGCAGCCCGGCAGAGGCAGTCCGCACGCGCGCGTCCTAGCAAACCGTGCGACGACAGTTCGAAGGACATTCTCAGACGGGCTTGGAGGAAATCTCACCAGCTGCGCCCGCCTCCTGCTCGTGCACATCATGCACATCCTCCTTCTCGTCACCGGTATCCGCCTACTCCTGAGTTTCCTCGTCGCCTTGGCGCTGTCTTGGAACCCTCTCGGCGCCTTCCTGGGGTCGCCTTTGTGTCCTGTCACTCTCTGGAGCTGTTTCTGATGGGCCTGTTTTCCACTGCCACCACCATGAGTTGGAGCGGGAGGAGGTCCTCCTCCTCCTCCTCCTCCTCCTCCTCCTCCTCCTCCTCCTCCTCCTCCTCCTCCTCCTCCTCCCTCCTCCTCCTCCTCCTCCTCCTCCTCCTCCTCCTCCTCCTCCTCCTCCTCCTCCTCCTTCTCCTCCACATCCCCCACCTCTCCTCCTCCTCCTCCTCTCCTCCCCTCACCTCCTCCTCCTCCTCCTCCTCCTCCTCCTCCTCCTCCCTCCTCCTCCTCCTCCTCCTCCTCCTCCTCCTCCTCCTCCTCCTTCCCCCCCTCCAATTTATGGTGGTGGCGAAGACAGGCCCATCAGAGGCGAACAACACAGCTGGCAGAAGCCAGCAGCACATCGGTACCCTCGGCGCCTCGGGAGCCTCTCGAGCGAGCTCGTTGGGGCCGCCGTGGGCCCCCCGCGGGCGAGCTGGGCTCTCGCGGGAGGAGGAGGAGGAGGAGGGGGAGGAGGAGGAGGAGGAGGAGGAGGAGGAGGAGGAGGAGGAGGAGGAGGAGGAGGCCATTTTGGGCAATTTTTCTGTTCGGCCCCCTGGCGCCCTGCCCGCGGACAAAACCAGGCGCCGTCGAAGCGGCGGTTACGCCGCGCCGCCGTCGCCGAAGGGCGACTCCCAGCCTGCCGCCACGCGCGCCCGCGCCCAGCGTGCCGCGGCGGCGGGCGAGGCGAAGCCGCGGAGCGCGGCCGCCTGCCAGGCGTCCGCCACGGCGGGCCGCAGCCCCCAGCGCGGCGGCCGCCCAGCCCCAGCGGGGGCCCCAGCGCCGCCCGCCGCGCCAGCGCCGCCGTGGAGCACCGCCGCGAGCCGCGCCTGCTCCTCCTCCGTGGGCGCCTGCGGGGCCAGGAGCCGAGCCTTGCTCTTCGGCTCCTGCAGGCGCATCAGGAGCCGCCTCGCCTCCGCCGCCCGCTCGCCAGGGGCGGGCCGCCCCCCGCAGCTGCCCAGCAGGCCAGTCCCTGCAGGAGGGGGCCTCTTCCAGAAGCGGCAGCCGCACTTCAGGCACCAGGCCATGGCCCCGTCACCGTTCTCAAGGCGCGAGAAGACGACGCAGTGCCCGCGCACCTCCCGCGCCACGCCTGCCCCAGCCACAGCTGCCTGCAGCCCGGGGGCAGCCGCAGCTGCATCCACGAGCTCGACGGCGGCGGCCCCTGCGGCGGCGGCGGGCGGCTGGCCGAGCTCCGCGCCCGCAGCGGCCCCAGCAGCAGCAGCAGCAGCAGCAGCAGGCGCCTGGCCGTGCTCGAGCTCGGCCTCGAGCGCCGACGCAGCCACCTCCGCGTCGGCCAGCTCCGCCGCGTCCAGCGCCGCCTGCGGGACGTCATAGACGAGGTCGGCCGCGCCCACCACCCCGTCGGAGTCCAGCTTCTCGCGGTCCACCGCGGCGGCGGCCAGCTCGCCGACCCAGCGCCCAAGCTCCTCCACACGCCAGGCGCACGCCTGGAGGAACCAGACCAGCTCCGCGTCGATCGGCCACAGGGCGGCGCCTCTCTTGGCCCACAGGTCAGCTGCCCTGTTGCCTTTGATCATGAGCTCCTCCTCCCAGGAGGGCGCCGCAGCGAGCGCCTTGTGCGCCTTGACCTTGCGCACTGTGGCCGACGGGCCAGGCCCTGCCCACCACTCCTGCCACAGGTGGCGGCGCGCCTGCAGCGGCGCGAGGGCCCTGCCCCGCGAGAGCGCCAGGCCGACCGTGCCCGCACAGTCGCAGAGGACCTCGAGGCCCGAGCCGTCGTCCGACGGCTGCCAGAACTGGGCCAGCATGTGGAACGCGTACTCCTCACCGTCCCTGGCCTCCTGCTCGGGTCCGTACATCCGCGGGGCGATGCCGTGCATCCCGCCGATGACCTCCCCGCTGAGGCCGATCTGCACCACCGCCCAGCCAGCGCGGCGGGCCCCTCGCAGCGCAGGGAACCTGGCGCTGCCGCCCACGTAGACCCTGCCCGCGAACTTCGAGCCAGGCGGCGCGCCGAACCAGCGCGGGGCCGCGAGCGCAGCGTCTGCCGCCGCGGGGAAGGCTAGGGCAGGGCCGGGGCAGCGCGCACGCGCGAAGAGCTCCGCCGCGGCGCCCCCGCGCTGCGCCACCAGCCGTGCCCCCTCCAGCAGCTCAGGCGAGCACGCGCCCCGCCGCAGCGGCTGCCAGGCGTCGCACTCGAGGGCCCTGTGCCGCAGCGTGCCACGACCTCCACAAAGGCGGCAGAGGCCGTCGCGCGCCTCGCCCTCCTTCCAGAGGCGCTCCTGCGGCCAGTGGGAGCCACCGAGGACCGCCACGAGCGCACGCCTGTGGCGGGCCTGCCAAAGCGGCGGCGGCGGCGCGGGCCCCTGGCAGCCTGCGCCATGGGCGGCCTCGGCGGAGGCCTGCTCCTCGGGGCGGCGGCTCGCGTGAAGGAGGCGCTCCAGCCCCTTCCAGTTCACAGGCCATGCCCAGGCGCCAGGCCCGCGCAGCCGCTGCAGCGCGAGCACATCCGAGGCCAGCAACGCCGACGTGCGCACCACCTGCACCAGCATGCCTGGCGAGTAGAACTCTAACGAGAAGACCCGCGCCTGCCAATCGACGACGGCACTGTAGGCCACCATCTCGCAGACGACCCGCCTCAGCGCCAGCGCACGCGCCTGTGCAGGGTCGCGGCACTGCCCCCAGGGGCGGCGAAGGTCCAGCAGGCCTTGCGCCCCGAGCCAGCACTCCTGCACCACCGCGGCGCTGGGCAGGCCCGTCTCCAGCGTCATGCCCCAGGAGCGCGCCACCTCCACCGCGTGCACCACGAAGGGGTCGCGGTAGGCGGCGCCGTGCTGCGCCCGCAGCCGCAGGCCAACGCTGGCCCCCATGGGCAGCCTGCCCTCCGCGCGCACGGCGGCGACCCGCAGGCCATGCAGCTTCCCGCAGGCGAGGCGCGTCACCGCGGAGCCCCAGACGGCGGCGGCTGCGGGCCCCCCCCTCTGGATGTGGCCCACCTGCGCACCGGCACTGCGCAGCAGGCGCGCCCGCGCACTGACCGCCGCCGCGCGGCCGAGCCGCGCGCCCTGCTCGCCCACGCGCCTCCAGCGCCCGTCGGTGGCGTCGCCTCCGAGGCAGCGGGCACCTGTCCAGCGGGCCAGCGGCCCATGCGCCCAGCAGCCGTCCAGCGCGTCGCCCAGGTCCTCGCTGTTCACCAGGTAGCCCGTCTTCGCCTCCGAGATGACCAGCCCCTTGGCGACCAGGCCCTCTATGAGGGCAGCCATGGCCCTGGGTAGCTGCTGCACCACCTGAGCCTCGCCGCCGACCGCCTGCAGCAACACGTCGCCGACGACGTTCTGCAGGCGAACCACAGGGCTCTCGCGCACAATCTTCACGAAGAGGGTGTGCACCAGCAGCTTGGCCAGCCCGACCGCCCCGCTGCATCCCGCCACAATGGCGCCGTTCGCCTCGAACGGCTTGGAGACCGAGCCGCACCACGACACGCGACGCTGCGTGCAGTACGACACGCAGTAGCACCGCAGCAGCGCGAGCGGGAATCCCGCGGCGACCGCCTGCACGCGCAGCTCCTCATGGCCGACGCGCTCGTAGAACTTCGCCAGGTCGGTGACTCCTGTGGCCGCCGAGAGGCCCCTGCTGCGAGCAAAGGCCGCCAGGAGGTTGCGCACCACCCCCGCGCGCTCGCACGGGCACTCCGACGCGCCCCAGAAGGCGGGGTTCTGCAACGAGGCCTCCCAGCGGGCCACCAGCGGCTGCCGCATCCTGCTCCAGACCCTCAACCAGATGGCCGCGAGGCCGATCGGCCGCTGGCCTCCAGTAGCCTTGGGTATGAACACCACGATCAGCTGCCACAGCGCCTCCCGCGTGGGCCCCCGCCCCCAGGCCATGAGGAGCTCCAGGAAGCGCTGCCTGTAAGACCGCGGGAGGCGCAGCAGCTGCTTCGGGTGGAGCCTATCCCACCCGAGGCCGCACCCCTCGCGGTAGGTGCCCAGGACCCGCCCCAGGTCCTCGAGCTCCAGCGGCGGCAGCACCGACTCCTGGATGCCCCAGTCCTCGGGCGCCACCTCGCCAGCGCGCGACGGCTTGATCCAGAGAGGCTGCCACGCCTTCAGCGGCGCAGCCACCGCGGCCTCGCCCGCTACAAGCATGCGCGGGCCGTCGTCACCGTCTGCGCCCGCGTGCACCACCGTGGGCAGCACCGTGACCTGCTTGATGAAGCGGCAGGCCGCCGAGCCGCCCCTCTCGGCGGCCGCAGCCTGGGCCCAGGAGCGCCACTCAGCAGCCCTCTGCTGCTTGTCCTGCATCCAGCGCCGCCTCGCCTCCCCCTGGACGAACTGCACCGTCAGCTTGCACGATGAGGAGCTGAGCAGGCCCACCACGCGGGCGACCGACAGCCCTGCGAGCGGGCCTTCCTCTGGCCACTCGAGCTCGAACGCCTGCAGCACCTGGCGCTGCTTGCGCAGCGGCGCCGTGCAGCGACCTCCTGGCGCCGCCTCCTGCAGCGCGCGCCAGCGGGAGCACGCCGCCGCGAACGACATCCAGCGTCTGCAAGCAGCGCCGGCACTCCTCTTGAGGTCCTGTTTCCAGGCCACCTCCATCTTGACCCTCTGCGCGCGCAGCCCGCCTGCGCGCCCTTTCCAGCGGCTGGGCGGCACGATCTCGCGGAGGTCGATCAGGTAGGCCTCCACCACCTCGAACCACTCCTGGCAGCCAACCTTGAGCGACTGCTCGCCGCCTGGACTCCAGGCCGAGAAGGCACGCTCACGTGGCGCTGGCCTTACTGGCGGTGGCAGCGGCAGCGGGAGAGCAGCAGGGCAAAGCGGCCGCTGCACCCTCGCCGCTGGCCCTACGCCACGGAGCACCACCTTCAGCGGCACGCGGCCCCTCGTCGGCGCCTGCAGCAGCACCTCCACCGTCTCCACGAAGCCCGTGAGGACCTTGCTGACGACAGCGAAGTCGAAGACCTTCGAGCCGCAGGTCGGCTTCCCTGGGGCGACGAGCGCAGCGCCCACGCTGCGCGCCCACTCACGGACGTCCTCAGGCTCCATGTTCCAGTCGCCCATCACAATCCACGGCGACTCCAGCTGCCCCACGCACTCGTGCAGCGCGGCCAGGAGCCCGATGTTCTCCTTCGCCCTGCCTATCTTCGTGATGAAGTAGGACGAGATGGCACGGCACGGCCCCCTGAATCCCAGGTTCACCTCGCACACCTGGAACCGATGGGCTGGGAGCCCTGGCGCAGCGGCGGCCGCCGACGGCCGCAGCGCGGCCACAGCCAAACCTCCCGAGCTCTCCAACGGCCCAGGGCCCGTCGCCAGCGCTGCCTGGCCATGCCAGCTGAGGCCGCGCGCCTGCATCCAGCAGCGCGGGCCACCGCCTGCTTGCCCTCGAGGCGGCGCTCCTGGAGGCAGAGCACCTTAGGCAGCCGCCCCTCGCCGTCGTGCAGCCACTCGACCAGCGACTGCGCCGAGCCCCACGCGGTGGTGTTGGCCGACACCAGCTCCACCGCGTCCGCCGCCTGCGGGCGGCCACCCCGAGGCTGGGCCTGACACTCGCTGGCGCTTGGCCAGCGCTGCGCGCCAGGCTGCGCGCTGCTGCTCGCCCTCCATGCCCACCTCGTCGAACACGGCATCGAGCCCGTCGAGCTCGGGGCCAGCAGCAGCCGCGCGGGCCCGCTCAGCCGCCGCTGCCTCGCGGGCACGGGCGTCGGCGGCGGCGAGCTTCTCCACGAGGCAGCGGGCCTCCGCGGCCATCGCGAGCAAGGCGCCGCCCTCCTTCCCGAGCAGTAGCACCCGCTCCCGCTCCGCTTCGAGGCCCTCGAGGCGCTTGAGCAGCGCCTTGCCCAGGTCGCCCGTCTCCTCAGGCTCGCCCACCTCCATGGGCGACGGCGCTGCGTGCTGCGCCAGGTCGGCGCGCTTCCTGGCGCGCACCGCCTCGGCCACCTCCTCCAGCTGGTCGCGGCGCTTCTGGAGGACGCCCTCCTGCTCCGCCACGCGGGCCGCGACGGCCTCCTGCTCCTCCTTGACGGCCGCCAGCATGGCCTCCGCACGGCCGACCTGGTCCTTGACCTTCGCCTCCCTGGCCAGGAGGGCCTGGAGCGACAGCTCGGCCAAGGGCTTCGCAGGCGGCGGCACGTCGGCCTCGGGCACCAAGGCCCCGAAGTCCTGGACCAGGGCCGCCGACCAGCCTTCCCTGGGGCCAAAGTGGCGGAGGAGGGCCAGGCGGACCTCCTCGTCCTTGCCGCCGCAGCTGCTGGGTTTCTCCTCAGCCGCCTGCTTGGCCGCGCCCTGCGCCCACGGCGCCGGCGTGGCCGCGGCGGCGGACGGGCCAGGCCCATCCGAGGCGAACCGCACACGCTTCGCCACGGCCTTCGCCTTCCCTTTGGCCTTGACCTTCTTGGCCCTGTCGATGGCGTCGCCGATCGTGCCAGCGCCCCTCGGCGGCCGCGCCGCCTGACAAGCCCTGCACACCGTGCGCCACGCCATGTTGCTGTAGCCAGCTGCACACGCATTGCACCTCCAGGGGTCGCCACCCTGGCTGGCACCACGTGCGCCTCCAGCAGCACCATTCGCCATCGGCCCGCGGGGGCACGCCGCTTCGAAGTATAAGGAGGAGGAGGAGGAGGAGGAGGAGGAGGAGGAGGAGGAGGAGGAGGAGGGCCTCTCGAGGCCGTCTCGGGGGATCTCGAGGCCGTCGCAGGGGGTCACCCGGGACCATCTCGGACTCCGCTTGGCGCTCTCGTGGGCCATCCTGGGGTGCCCTTGGGCCGGTTCGGGGCGCGCCTGAGTGGGGCCTGCTGGGGCACTCACGGGGCCGTCGCGGGAGGAGAAGTGGCGCACAGTGCTGCATGGGCATGGTATGGCATACATGAGGACGAACGGTTCGAGTGAAAACGGTTGGCCCAAAAACTTCCAACCTTGAACTTGTCGCCTCCCCCCCTGAGCCAGCTCCCCCCCCGACGTTGCACCTGAGAGCCCCTTCCGAAGCCGAACTGCTCCTTCCCAAGGCGTCTTGACTTTAGGCAAGACAGGGCATGCCCAGACTGCAGGGCACGACAAGTGCCTGGCTGGACGATCCACGCGATGTCAGAAACCAACGCCCACGTTAGTGAGCGTTTTTGATTCGGCGTTTCGACATTGGGCGGAAGGGGGGGGAGGAAGGGAGGGTCTGGCTCTGGACCTCTGGTTAGTGCGACTATTTGCGACAGTGCGTCCTATGGGGAAGGTACTCCACCTGCTCGAAACAGACACCAAAAACAGCCAAGATCCACTCCTGAGGGGGGGGGAGGGGGGGGGCGAGGGCCCGCGCCTATCGCCAAACAACTGAATAAACAACGATCACTGCGGAGTCCTCGCCGTATTGTGTTGTCGCGACGTTCCAGGTCTGGGACGTTCGCGCAGGCACACCGCAGTCGGGGACTGTACGTGCGGCCCCGAAGCGGGATTGGCAGCAGGCTGCATCCTCCTGTGAGGTACCCGCCGTCCCGGTCGCGAGACACGGCTGGGCGCACTGCGTGCTAGTCGTCGCTGCCGGGGCGGCCACAGTCGGGGCGTTGACCCAAGGAACCCTAAAGAAGGAACGAGGCCCCTGTTTTCCATAAGTTAAACTTCGATTTCCCATCGAAAACATGAGGAAAACCTGAGGCAAGCTGTGAAGCACTTAAGGAACGCGGAGCGCCTCCCCAACCAAAAGGGTTCCTTCTTCAGGGCCCCGACTGTACGTGTGCGCGACAGCGCAGCTGCCGCGGGTCGTTTCCACTGGGCGTTGCGTCCGAAGGAGACGTGGGAGAAGGGGTCAGCCAGGGCCCCTGCCCCACCCGCGGCGCGCACCTGCTCCGTCGGGGCGCGGCCGCCATGGTCCGGGCGGGCGGCGGGCGGCGGGGAAGGGGGGGGCCCCGCGTGTGGGGGGGGGCTAAGAAAAGAATGCGAGCAAAGGCTCGCGGCTGGCGCCGCCAAGCGAGGGTACTCGTCTTGTGTGTATGCATGTATACATGTATGCGTGTATGTATTCGTGGATGTATGCTTGTACGTATGCACGGGTGTATATAAGTGTAATGTAGTGCATGCGTGTAATTATGAGAATATAAACGTAAATATGCATGCATGTATGTGTGTACGTATGTATGTATGCATGTATGAATGTATGCATGTACGTACGCGTTTGTGTGTACTTACGTGTGAAAGTGTCTGTGTATGTGTGCGTGTGTGTGTCTACACACATTTATATTTTTGTGCATGTAACTATACATATAATCTTATATATATATATATATATATGCACATGTATATATATATATATATATATACATACATACATACAAACATACATACATACATACATACATACACAGATGTGCGTGTATGCATATATGTGCGTATGTATGTATGCAGGTACGTACACGTGTGTTTTAGCCAACGCAACCCCCGATCATTGCATTATATCAAGTTTCGCATTCTATGCTGCGCAACCTGAATGATGCACCATATATATATATATATATACACACACCTACATACATACATACATACATACATACATGCATAAACGTGTTTGTGGTGCATTCTATGTGGTGGCATTAAATCATTGGTTCGACATAAGGTTGTCCACCCCATGGGTCGCGCAAACATCCCACCCACCCACCCGCAATTTGGTTTGCAACCCCCACGCGGAAGCGATTGCGATGAGCGCTTTGTGTTGACTGGTGAATCTTTGCGGCCGCGTTAGCCCGCGCATGCTCGCGCGCGCAGCGGCCAGCTAGCTTGGCGCGACCGAAGCGAACGCGGTGGTGCTTACCGCTCGGCACATTCCAACGGGCATTTCAGTGCGAGTCGGCGACTTGAGCGGGCGCGGTATCATGGCAACGTCGACAACGGTAGACACGAGGATGATAATAGCGATGCGGGTGACAATGCTGACAACGACGACGGGGCAACCAGTGACGGCGCCGATGCTGATCACACCGACGACGATGATGACGTTTTCGCGTCGGTGATGAAGGTTTGGAAGGAGTTCGAAATGCGCGCGCGGCAGACGCGCGAAAATGCCCCGCATGGAGTTATTCGACGTAGATCTTGCCGCCCCAACACGCGCGCAAGGGCGTTCGAATGATTTCGCCATGCGCGCACGCGAAGCCCGTTTGGTAGCAGTTGGTGAGATGTTGAAAAACGCTTGGTTGTTGTGTAAGCATTCGCAAGAGCGCGCGCGCGCTTTTGTTGAAAATCGGCGTTGCGAAAACATGTGTTGTTGTATGTTCTGTGGGGATTCGATTTGAATCCTTCCGAAAACGAAAGTGTTTGAAAGATTTCGGCATGCGCGCGCGACGACGCGCGCGTGCATTTTGCAAGGGGTTCTTGAGAACTTCTGATTTGTGATAAACGAGTGCGCGCGCATAGAATTTGTCGCAGAAGATGGCGGGGGGGGGCGATACCGGCTTAGCTGGGATAGTATGAACTCATAGGTCGCGTTGGCACTTGGTCGGAATCATATGTACATCGCAATACGAAAAAAGAGTCTTCAACCTCCGGGGGGGCGGGGTGGTAGAACCGATCTCCTTTTTTAGAAAGGCTGCACCGCGCGTGACCACCTCCCATGCTCGTGCAAACATCGTCGCAACCCACCCGCATGTTGGTCGACAAGACCCATAAGGTCGCGACCGCAGTTGCAGCGTGGAGCTCGTCCGCAAGAGCCCACTGGCACGCGGACCCTCGCGGCGCGGGCAAGGTCCATCTTGCGGGAGACAGCGCGGACGACAGCGCCGACAAACAACGATGAAGTGGTTGGCAGAACTCACAAGGTCGCGAGTACCAGTTACAGCGCGGAGCTCTTCCGATAATATCATCGCGTTCATTGGCGCGCGGACGCTCGTCGCGCGGGCAAAATCCATCCTGCGGGAGACAATTCGGACGACGGCGTCGACAAACGACTATGAAACTGATCGCGACGCTTCCGACGGCAACGATGACGATAGCGGAGCCCCGTATAGTATTATTTGACACGGAACATGCCTCTGGTAAATGCGCGAGGGCATTGGAATAAGTTCGACATGCGTACGCGAATGCCTCCTTGGACAGGAAAACTGAAAAATAATCGGGTTCCCTAGGGATCCGCAGAGCGCGCGGGATGAAATGTTGAAAACTTTTTCGTTGGAAAACTATTATGGATTTTCGTTATGGGTTTTTCGTGTTTTCACGCGGACGCCGCCACGAAAAAAAAAGTGTTTGAAAGATTTTGTCTTGCGCGCGCGTGGCCCGCGTTGTACTGCGTCATATGGATTCGTGCACTCAACTCTTCTTAAACCAACGCATGCGCACCGCACTGTGTCATTTGACAGGGATGATGGTGGGACCCGATACCTGGACTAGCTGCGCGCGCGCACTTCGTCCCACATGTTGCCCGGGATGTTTGGTAACTGCAGATTGTTGTTCAACGAGCGCGGGCGCATTTTTGTCTGCGGAGGATGAAGGGAAAGGGGTCGGAGGGATACCTGTGTTAGCTGGGGTGCTACCGAATCGTCCTTACGATGGGCGATGGGGCAGAACCGCATGTAAAATGCAATACACAAAATGGGGTCCAGTTAATTCCGGGGGGGGCGGGGTAAATCATAATGCCCTTTCTAGGAAAAATGACATACATGGTGCAACCTAGGTGGTTCAGACTATGCAGTGTAATAAATTTATAGTTGCAGCGATCTGTAAATTCCATCGCTCGCGCAAACACCCCACCCGCCCACCCGGAACTCGGCTTGCATAAGCCCATGCGGCGGCGATTATGATGACAGCTTGGCATTGGCTGTTGCATCTCTGCGGCCGCGCTGGCCCGCGCGTGCTCGCGCGCGCAGCGGCCAGCTGGTCTGGCGCCACCGACGCGGCCGCGTTGGCGCGAACCGCTGGGCACTTCCCAGCGGGCGCTTCAGCGTCGGCGATTTGGGCACGCGCGGTATAATGGCAACGTCGACGAAGGTAGACACGAGGATGACAGTAGTGGTGCTAGCGACGATCATGACAAACGACGTTGGCAGGGCCATCGACGGCGCCGATGCTGATTACGCCGACGACGATGACGGTGCTTTCGCGTCGGTGAAAAACAAATTGTGGCAAACGTTCGACATGAGCGCGCGGCCGACGCGCGAGAGTTGCCCGCGCTGTATTCATTGAAACGAATCGCGCCCCCCACCACCACCACCCCTCAGCACTCGCGCAAGGGAGTTCGAATGATTTCGAAATGCGGCGCGAGAGGCCCGTTGGGCAGAATATGGTGAACATGCTTAAGACACGCGTGGTGTTCCGAA